AGAGGAGTGGGTCTGGGGACAGGGGAGACAGTGTGGGGAGGAACTGGGAGGAAAGAAGAGAAACTCTGACCAAGATGTAATATTTGAGAGAAGAACAGATTTAAAGAAATTTTTATAAAAGAGTATAAAATCACAATATCGAAACCAAGATCCCTAAAGGGCAAATTGAACAGTGAGGATTTCCTCCTTTATAAATTCTTGCTTTGGAAAAGCCTTGTGAAGAGAGTGGTAGACATACAGTTGGCACTGAACTAAATAGTCTTAAAAAGACACAAACTCTCAAAACCTGATAGTAAAATGAGCCTCATTGACACATAGAAAATAGTGAGAGATGGAATTGTTGCTTCACATAAAGAATTCCAGACAGAAAATGAGCATAGGTGCACACAGTCCAGGAGACATAAGCCTAGACACTCAGGATGACAGAGCAGCTAAAGGAGAAACAAATGCACCCCTAAGCTAGTGGGTCCCCAAGACTGGCACCCATAGGCTGGTAGCAGGTGGAATAGGCAGCTATTCTGGAAGGTGCTGGGTGGTCTCTCCTGAGCCAAAAAGGGCTTCACATTTCAACCAGTAGTGGAGTTTTAGAGCAAAAGAAACAAAATCGAACTTCATACAAACCCTGCACGCAAAAGTTCAAGGTAGCTTTGTGGTAGAGGCTGCAAGCCTCCTGGATGTCTGAGTGGGTGTGCTCAGAACACACACCAAGGTTTCTGTTCAGGGGCAAGAAGGAAGGAACTGCAGATGTTCACCACACAGAAGCAGATGAGACAGGGCCTGGACTGGGAGAAGAGACTCCGCCCAAGAGAACACACCCTTTTTGGCATGACCAAATCCCAGAGACAGACTGGGGCAAGTACAAAGAAGATCTCCTCTACGGCTTACATCACGTTATCCAAAATAAAAAAAAGATTAAAAGGGACACAAAAACAGGACTAATTTCCCAAGAGCCTCCTGTACCTTCTAAGAAAAGGGCATCATGGTTTAGCAGGCTGGAGTAGAGACCACAGGAACAGGTTGGTCCTCCTCTGCTCGTCCCAGGGAACCAGTTTATTGCTATTTGCTTCTAAACCCTGGATACCAGATATTGAGCAAATGATTGTCCTCAGGGGCTACTACACTGAAGAAGCACTTTCCTGCAATAGACACCACTTACTTCTGCTTTTAAAGAAGGAGTCATGTCTATCTACAAGTATGGGGGACTCTGGAGCAGAGAGCCCATCATTACAGAAACTGCACTCAAGCTAGGACCCAAGTATGGTGATGTTGATGCCAGCAGCCTTCCCTGAGCTTGGCCCACAGGCCCTGAGCCTTCTGAATCCTGACTCTAGGAAAACATTCCGAGCTTCTGTCCCAGAAGAGAATGGTCTCTTGGAAGCAGTGACACATGAAATGGCACTTGCCCACATCCCGAGAGAGACACCCTCTGACCTCAAGCTGAACTTAGGTCAGGGTCAGCACAGATAAGAGAGCTACCTAAGAGGGAGGGAGGTGGAGTCGGATGAGGCTCAGGCATGGGATGGGTACCAGGAGGGACAGAGAGAGGAAGAGATCAAGTGCAAGTTTATAGTCAGGTGGTGACGGTTGGGATGTGGCCTGAGACGAGCTTTAACAGGTGCACTCTGTCATACACACTGTGTTAAGTGCCTTCAACAGTCAGTACAGGCAGAAAGGCAAGCTGCTCCAACAACTTACACCATTCAAATCTCCAACGAAATCAAGACAGGACAGTGTGGGTACCCAACAACCGGTGCATTAATGGCAAACCTGCTTTGGAAAGTCCCTGCTAAAATGAGTCTGAAAACACACTGGTAAGCCAGGCAGACGTGCTGTGCCCTTACTCTCAGCTTCCGACTCTGCTTGCGGACCAGCTTGCCATGCTGAATGAAGTGCACGGGACACTGGTTCATGGCGTTGTCGGCCTTGTGGCGAAGCCAGTCTTCATAACCCTAAGGCCAGAGAGACAAGGAGAAGGTGTGTTGTAAACAATTATGGCCGAGCATGGTCCAGCCTGGGATATCACACCTCCCTGGCCCTTATAGCTGGTCATTCTCATACCAACATTTAGGCTGCTTTATGTTTTTGCAATTATAGCTGAAATAATCTTTGTAATTAAAACTTCTGTATAAGCCCAAGACCTATACTTGGGAAAATTCCTTCACAAGGAATGACTCAGTCAAACGACAAGCCAGGTTTTGAGGATTCTTCAGGGACAGTCTCCACAGTGGCTCAGCAGTCCCCAGGGATAGACTGTATCTGCCAACCATGCTCACCCGCTGGCTCTGAGAACAAAGGCACATTGTGTTCAAACCTGCATTTCCAGATGACTGCCACGTGAGAAACAAAGATAGACCAACAGCAATTAGCTTCTTTTTCCTTTGTTAAAATTATTATTTTAGATAAGATCTCTCCCTAGTTGGTTTGTTTGGGTTTTGTTTGGTTTGGGGCAGGGCAGGGGGCAACTTAACATAAGCTAGAGTCATCAAGAAAGTTCTTCCACAAGCCCTAGGCAAGTCTGTTGAGTACACTCTTGGCTAATAACTGATGCAGAGGCCCTTGGCACTGTGGGAGGGGCCAAGGGGTCCCCAGCTATATAAGGAAGCAGGCTGAGCAACCCAGGACAGATGAAGCCAGGAAGCAGCCTTTCCCTCCCCAGTTTGTTGGTCATGGTATTTTAACACAGCCATAGAAAGCAACTAGGACAGTATCATATGTACTTGAGCCTGGTCTAGAACTCACTGTTAAGACTAAGTAGGCCTCGAACTCACAGGGGTCACATAAGACCACTGGAAAAGATATTTACATTATGCTTCATAACAGTAGAAAATTACAGTTATGAAATAGTAATGAAACTAACTGTATGGTTCGAGTCGCAGCATTAGGAAGGTTGGGGACTACTGTTCCTTATGAATTAGCTGAAATGAACTAGACCACCCACCTAGAATGGAGGCGACCCCTGGTGGCAACACGGGTACCTGCCTTCCTGGCTGTGAGACCTTTTTTTTTTAATTAAAAAATTAATTTAATTAAAAACTGTACAAATATTTTTAAAAACTTAACATTTAATCCTAAAATTTATGTGAAAACGCAAAGCATCAAGGTCCAAGATAGCAGAGTTGTTCCATTTACACACTGAACTTCAAACTGTACTACAGACCTACAGTAATAAAGTCAGTATAGAAACCAGTCTAGTGATGGAGATGTATCAGATGAACAAAATTCATACAGACATAAACCCTCAAAATGGGGAAAAGATGGCCTTTCATCAACTGTCACTGAATACCTATATGCAGAATAAACACACATCCAATTTAGCTTTTACATTGTACCATATTTAAAATTACCATAAAATAGTACCTAAATTAGCAACTAAAATAATAAAACTTTTGAGGAAACAGGGTAAACGTCATGGCCCTTACATTATGTCTCAGTCTTTACTCTGCTTCCTCATGGCTAATGTTAGCTCAGAAAGTGAGACGGGAATCCCCTCCACCCTACACGAACTAGTAAATAACCCAAAGGGAAGGCATGCTAAAGAAATAAAGTCCAGCTGAATCAACTAGTAATGGCTTACGCAAGAACAATTTAAAACATTATTGGACTATAGCCCAAAGTTTAAAATAAACATGTGTAAATCCATGTTGACATTGATAAACCACTGAATAAAGGTAGTGGGTATTAGACAAATCGTCCTTGAGTAAGAATTTGAAATAATTTGCACACTTGGTTACGAAGGAGATGAAGCATACGTCTGCACTCCTTATCTGTGAGACTCACTTAGTAATTACTTCCAAAGCGCAGAATACAAAAGGGGAAAGGGCCAAACCCACTCCAGAGCAAGGAGATCGGCAACTGGATCACAGGGGAGTAATGGAAGTTGACTGACACGCTCACACTAAGTCACACCGATGGCATACACTTGTGATGTTCAAGGATGGTACTGCACATCTGCAATCACCCTCTCAACCACCTAACACCAAGCTTACTATGAAAAAAATCAATCACCACAAAAAACCACAAATAAATACCCAAGTCCTACCTGCTTGATGGCTGTGACAGTGATGACGAAGAAGAGTGGGAGTCCGCTCGTCACTGGACTTGTGGGTGTGTCGATGATCAACTGTGGCGAAAAGAGAGCCCTAGAGTCACCTTGGAAACACCTAGCAACCCGATGGCAAGCTGGCCCAGCCCAGCCTTTTCCCAGCCTAGCTTCTTCCTACCTCAATGCACTTTGCTGGGTTCCTCCTTGCCTAGCAACATGCACAGGAGGGTCACCACCCTGTCCTAGTGACTATAATGCTGAGGGAGGCTCCTTAAGGGGTGTGTTTAAGGAAACCATGTAAGTGTGAGGGCACAAGTCTGACACAGAATACATTGTTTCATTTAGTCTATTCATAAGTGCGACACAGGATACATTGTTTCATTTAGTCCATTCACAATCGTGACACAGGATACATTGTTTCATTTAGTTCATTCACAAGTGTCACACAGGATACATTGTTTCATTTAGTCCATTCTACAGGTGTCATACATGAGTTAGTTCTGACAGACTTCATGCTAGGAGGTTTTAAGTAGTTTATAGCCATACTTAGAATAATTTAGAAAACTGTACTGCTGTTCAGGAAGTGTATTCTACAGGCTGCATCTGCCCACACCCTTGCTGTATCCCTGTCTCTCTGATGTACAACTGCTTTGCATGTTCTCTAAGTATCAGCTAGGACTAAGTGGAGTTGCCAGGTGTGGCTGGAGATCTTGCCCTGTCTCCTGGTAAGGCTGGAAAGTGGCCACAGGAAGGTCCACATACACAGAAGGATCTGGAGAGATACTCAGCTGAGCTAAGCCTTGAGAACACAAGAATGAATGGCAGCCCTTAGGGTGCTAAGTCCTTGATGTTAGTGACTGTGTGTCATTTACTTGAGAATCAAATGGCATTTGCTAAGACAGAAAGCCACGACTGTCCTTACCTGTACCAGGAAGATGATGAGAAAATAAAAGTTGGCTATTCTTCTGAACTGTTCAAATAAGTTCTTGGGTATGAAGTTCCAGAACGTGTACTGTAGGAAACAGAAGCACAAATGGGTCCCTGGGTGCAGTGTCCTCCTGCGTACTTCAGGAGGGAGTGCAAGTGTACCTACAAACTCATGAGAACTTAATTACTGACGGCTATCGGGTTTTTCCAATGCCCAAGACAGAGTGTACCCTCCAAAGCAGTCATGTCCAGATCGCTTGGCCCAGTGAGTCAAGGCAGAGAGCAAAGCACTCAGGCAGCTTCTGTGCAGGTACAAAGCGTTACATCAGGCTATCTCTTCTCATCTCCGCTGTGTTATCAGGTACATCTGAGAGGTACAGCAGGAGGGACAGAGTCTGAGCTGCCTCAAGGTTGCTTCCCTGACGGCAGGGCATGGTGTCCACACTGCAGCGTGCTGCATCTGTCTGTGGCTACATGCATTACTGGGTAAGAAAAGAGGGTGGTTCCCGCGCCGCATATTCTCCAAACTGACTCCTCAGCATCCGCTGAGCACAGCAGTGACTCTCTACATACCCTTACACTGTGTTGTTGTCCCCTCAGCGACTCTCTATACACGTTCTACACTGTGATGCTCTCCGTCAGCATCCACGGAGCAGGCAGCGGCTCTCCACACCTTTACACTGTGCTGCTCTCCCTCAGCATCCGCTGAGCAGGCAGCGACTCTCCACACACCCTCTACACTGTGCTGCTCTCCCTCAGCATCCACGGAGCAGGCAGCGACTCTCCACACCCTTACACTGTGCTGCTCTCCCTCAGCATCCACGGAGCAGGCAGTGACTCTCCACACCCTTACACTGTGATGCTCTCCCTCAGCATCCACGGAGCAGGCAGCGGCTCTCCACACCCTTACACTGTGCTGCGGTCCAAGTTCACTTGCCTTCTCACATTTACAAGTACGAGGAGATCTTCAAGGTTACTGGGGGGACTGGGGCAACTGTGCTGACCATATCAACAGGATCAACATGTTAACAACACCCTTTTCCTGCCCATCAACATGGCTGTCTACTCTCTGCACAGAGGGTCTTTCATTTCTCTTATGGCAGCTGTGCAGTTTTCCCCATGACTCCAGTTTAGTGTTCTTGTCTGTGTGGAAACATGCTGGGAAGGACTTGGATGGCTCAGAGCCCTGGCTAAAGCAGGCACTCAACTATGATGGAGGCTGACGTTCTAGAACTTGACAAGCACCTCTCTCTTCACTCTGGTGAACCATGCATTTCTTTCATCCATACCTTCCACTAGCTTCCTAAGGGGGCACTAAAGACACACGTGGACTCTAGTGGCAGACTCAGCCCTCTGTCTCACATTTCTGGGATGATCACAGACCCATCTCTTGGTTTTTCACCTTTTGATTTTTATACAATGCCACTGTCAAATGGAATTATTTTAAGGCCTTATTGTATGAAGCCAACCATATTTCTCTCTGTTCTCAGGCCAGAATTCATTACTTGCAAGGTAGTTCGTCAAAATATTTCTAGTAACCCACACCCAGTGGCTCATAACTGCCTGTACCTGCAGCTCTAAAGGATTTAACAGTTTCTTTGGCCTGTCATGGGTACCTGCACTCACACATGTACATTTTTCAACACAGACACACACAGACACAGACACACACAATTCCATCACTCAGACAGCAGAGGCAGGCAGAGCTCTCTGAGTTCAAGGACAGCCTGGTCTATATACATACAACGACAGTCAAGGTTACATAGAGAGAGCTAGCTCTGCTGAATTGGCTAAATGAAACAGACTTCAACACAGAGCCACTGTGTGGTTAAAGTGTCTCTGTGGGCTGCCCCTGAAGCAAGTGAATGGGACTGCTCAGCTCCACTGCAGTGGGCTACAACAGGTGACCCTAGTGTGCTCGATGCATTTCCACAGAGGGCCGTATGCACATCTGGATCTGTGCTACCTGAATGTTACTGTTCTAGTTCCCTGAAATTCTTCCGTGTACCAGAGAAAGAGGACTGCTATGCAGTCCTACCACTAAGAAGACCCTGCTGTGGCCGAGAATCATCCTGAGGGTCACAAACTGTTAACAGCTATTACTGCTGACTGCATGTTACAGGAAGACAAATAATTTAAATGCCCACAAGTAGATGATACCTCTGTAGCGTATAAAACAAGGGGCTGGAGAGATGGTCCAGTCAAATAAAAAGCTTGCCATGTACACATGAGGACCAGAGTTCAGAATCCCAGCACCAAATAAAAAGCACACCACAACTCCAGAGAGAAAGTGGAGACAGGAAGATCCCTGGGGCTTGCTGGCTAGCCAATCTAACCAATTAGTAAGTTCCATGTTCAGGGAAAGACTCTGACTCAACAATAACAACAACAATAACAGTAACAACAACAAAAACCACTACCACCACAAACAAAAAGCAACCCTCCCCCCAAAAAAACCATGGAGACTCATTAAGGAGGACACCCAACCTTGACCTATGTCGTTGAGATGCATATGCACATATGTGCACATTTGCCCCCACATGTGTGCCCCCCTACATGCTCTCTCACACACATGGAACTGTTCTTTATAAGAGCCTGACTGGCACAGTGATAGTGGCAGGACAGCCACACATCTTCTGTCTCTGCTGATCTGTAGAAGTCTTTGCATCTGTGAAGACACGTGGCCAGCACACGTCTCGACGTCACCCACACTCAGGTATCAAGTTCTATTTCCATTGTCATATCAGCAGAGGAAAGTATCCCAGCCCAGAAAACTCTGTTATCCATGACCAAGGGGAAGAACAAAGTGGCTGCTTCACCCGTGAGAGGACTGGGAAAAATGAGGACATGGCCTCGCTCTCCCATGTAGATGTCTTGAGGCACACTGAACCTCAAGACAGCCAACAAGCCCTGCTTCTTCATGCTCATGGAAACTCTGGGCCAGAGTCAGCTGGGCTATCTGACATCCGGGCAGAGTATG